ATCTAATATTTACTTTAAGCATTGGGAAGCTTAACATGTCAGGCCTAAAAGCCAGTCTGGTAGGTGTGATACCAACACCTGGAAAACTAAACAGAATCAACTCCTGGAGCTTTCCATCACCATGTGTCTGCATCACATTGCAAGACAGGACTTTTAAGCAAAGGAATTAATAGAATCATACAGTCACTGAGTGGCTTGGAAGGGACTTCAAAGATCATCTGGTTCCAACCCCCCTGCCATGGACAGGGACACCTCCCACCAGGCCAGTCTGCTCAGAGCTCCATCCAGCCTGGCCTTGGACACTGCCAGGGATCCAGGGGCAGCCACAGCTGCTCTGGGCACCTGTGCCAGGGCCTCAGCACCCTACAGGCAAGAATTTCTTTCTAATACCTAATCCAAGCCTACTCTCAGCCAGTTTGAAGCCATTGCCCCTTGTCCTGTCACCACACGCTCTTGTTCTGGCTACAGGCTGTTGAATTGCCTGTAGCAGACGTGCAAGGCTTGGTACAAAAGCTCAGCCTGCCTGCCAGGGGCTGCAGGAATGCAAACCCTGTGCTAGAGGAGCTGGTGCCCATCCTGGGAGCACCACCTGCAGCCTTCTCCCAGCCCAGAGTGTCTGACACAGGCTGGAGTCCTCCTGCAGAGTGTCCTCACCTGCGCCCAGGTGGGGAGAGGCCTCTGGCTCCTCTGTTCGTGTACTCAGTGAGGTAACCATCCAACAAAGAAATAAAATTCAAAACAAGGACCCTCACATGTGAATTCCCTGCATTTCAGGACTTGCCCAGCTCCCATTCATGAGGCAGCCGAAAGACCTCGTGGAAAAGAACAGCCTCTAATGACCATGCGTCCTTGTGCTCTGGAGTGTGGGCTACAGCAAGTAATAATAGATGAAGGTTTACATGTTTTTCTTGTGTTTCTGCTGGGGCTGCTGTGTCATTAATTCAGCTTGTGCCTGGCTACTTGTGTTAAACATTCCCTTTGTGGCTTTCTCTAAATCTTAAATTTTGCATGTGACCACACGTAAATGTAAATGTGTATTTTTTATGGTCCTGTAATCTTAGTGCTTTTAAATCCCGATTGCCTGAAGGCACACAGGGAGCTGAAGCAGAAAAGCTTGGTCAGTTTGTGATCATTTAGAGCTAGTTTATTTGCTCTTTCTGAGTGGATTCAGTTCCTGTAGAGGTTTTTGCCTTTAGTGTAATAGAGCAAAGATAAGATCTAGAAACCTAATTAACCCTGCAGGGCCTGTGAACAAGGCTCATTAGAAAACAGTCAAACACATTTATGCTTAAATACCTTATTTACAGGAATTCATATTGTATTTCTGAACGGCAGATATACGTGCCCATACTCATAGCTTTAGCCACTGTAAACCATTTCCTTAAGTGCAGAAAATGTACCAAGCTGGAGCTCAAAGTCACCCGGATTGTACATGTAAATAGCCTGTACTTTGAAAGGCAGCCCAGGATGAATGAAAACCCTGTCTGCAGGAGACTGTAAGATAGTTGTCCTTTCACCTGCACCCCAAAGCAAGTGCAGGTGTTCCCCAAAAGCAGTGTCATTGCAGCCCACATCCTGACCAGTAAACACCGCTCTGAAGCAATTTCTCCAGGGACTTTCCCATCTGTCCAAGGCAGTGACAATGAGACACATGTGATCACAGGCATCTCTGGGGACTTCTGGAAAGACTTCATAAGGACTCAGAATGAGGTTATTACAAACCTCATCCTGAAGCTGCTTCACATCTCTGTAAATATCCTGGGTCAGACTGGATTGAAGCATGGATTCTAGTACTCAGTGCCCATGAATATACACGTACTTGTCATACAAGCTCCAGTTATCCGAGAACAAAAGTATCCCCAGCAACATAATTCTCCTTCTTTCCTAACCCTTCACTCCTTCTACCCCTGCCCCTCACCGCAGAGAGAACAGAAAAGCTAACCCAGTAGAGATCTCTGGAAACAGCTGATATGTTGGTGCATTAGTGGGTGAAGCTATATGTCGTGCACATAGTGACTTAAAAGCCAGGAGAATTAGTTATTCTTCCTTCTCATGACATCTTGAAGGACAGCCTGGATTCAGAATTAGGTCTGCTCAGTACTTAACTTCGTTGCAAGTGACTGCCTGACCAGTGAGTAGGATAAATGATGCCACTGGGACTGAAATGTATCTTAAAATTAATCATTTGCTTAATGGTTGTCCTGGAGAAGGATGGGTTTAAATATAAATTTTTAAGGGCATTTTCTGCTTCAAGGCCTGTGGGATTGAAGATCCCATCAAAGAGAGATTCTAAGCAAAACAGACGTACATTGTGTCACCAATGTTTTAAAATCACAGGCATTATAAATTTAATTTATTTTATATCCTATATCCTGTATCCAAGCACAATTGGTAAACGCAAGCAAACCTGTATGCTATAAATTTTTCGGGGAAGGGATGACTTTTGTTTGGCACTTACTGGCATTTAATACAACATTAACAAGTCTAGAACTGGGGTAACTGTGCTCTAATGTTATTTGAATGAAAATAATTGCAATTTAAAAAAACCTTAGCTTAAGTTCGGCTTCATAGGCCTGAAATAATTATTTTACTGGCCCGTTTAAAAGTATGCCTTTTCAAAAAAGGCAAAACAAACCTCTACCATTTCTATAAGTAGATTCGTAATTTATATTGTGAATGTCTTTGACAAGAGGAAAATCCCAAATCAAGTTACTCTTCAACCTGAACTAATAAATCCTGCCTTGACAGGAGTTCTTTTTTCAGTGCTTCATTTTCAAGGAGTCATGTGGTTTTTTAATAATCAGTCTCGTTGTTTCCTCTTCATCCTATTCAACAAGGCAGTGATAACTGCAAAAGCATCTCGGGTACGCACAGCAACTCAGATGCAGCACTGAGAAATCAATATCTCTGTGAAGTCAGCTTTAATGAGACATCAAAATATTACATCTGCAACTCTTGGCGGCCGGACAGTGCTTTGGAAAGCAAAGCCGGTTTCCCTAGCCCAGATTAGTCAACATCAGGTTCCTTGGTCTAACATTTCACTAAATATTTTCCCACAAATGTCCGACTGCATTTTGAAGGGCGTAGCTGACAACATAAACGTGCCCTAAGGTGAAAATCCCAAAACATTTCCCTGGGCGATCTTTGCGTCTGGACATTACCAATGCAGATGTCTGTAATCAAGAGATCTCAATGGACCCGCTAATTATTCCCTGGGCTTTTCCACTGGCAGGAAAAATCCCATTTGTCGCAGCTTGTTTGCAGAACTGCTTCCATTTCCACAGTGGTGGCATTAATTAGCAAAAACCTGTGAAAATTGTTGGAGTTTATAGGTTCAGAAAACCCATTGCTCCTAAATATTCCTATAAATTCAGCCATGGCAACAAGTCCTGAAGGTCCGGCTTTCTCAGCTGGAGCAATTTTTCATGCTTGTAGCAATAAGTGGGAAATAATGGGGGTCTCAGATTCCCATTAGGAAAGTTGCTTCTGTGACCTCTTCATGCAGATGGATGGTGAATTTCTCAGATAATAAATCAAAGTTTCCTGATGGTGCAGTGGCATCTCTTGCTGAGGCCCGTAGAGCTGCTGGCTGCCTTCTATTCAAAGGCAGCAGGCCTCTGCCCAGCAGGAAGCTTTCCCTACAAATCCTTCCCTCACCATCAGGAGATATTAGGGCCTCTATAAACTGCCCAGGCATTTTGGGGAACAGCCAGCCTCCTGCTGGGAAATGGACACTTTTCAACTTCATTGACATCTGTCACACATACAAAGAATAGAAAGCCATCAGGAAAAAAGCCACATTATGACTTTCCCATCAGCAGGGCCAGTTAAGTCTTTGTCCTTAAAAGGTATTTAAATAGTTCATCAGAGCTACCTTGCTTAATAGTATATTTAGGAAGAGAATCTTACCTTTGGGTTTTAAAGACCATGGAATGTTTCTGTGCTTCTTGATACTTTTTGCATTAGGTTAACTTTCCTGGAGGAATTTTGAACCAAAAAAAACCCCAAAAACCAACACCCAAAAGAAAAAACCCACCAAAAAAACCCCCAACCAACTGTGATGCTGGTTTTTCCATGCAGTTTTTATTAACCTTCTTCCAAATAAGTCTCTGCAAGGAAAATGACACCAATTTTTATTATCAGAAATATATTTATTAAGTGACAGTCTAATTCCCAGAATAGCAGTGCATGCATTTTTTTTTTTTTTTTTGGAGTTACAGCTTTTTTCCCAAATGACCTTAAAATAAGCATGGGAAAGCAGCATTGTAAATACAGTAATGAATTTCAAGTGAATGTACTTTTTCCCCTCAATGTATTGCTTATATTAAACGCTGTGGGAGGGATAGTGCTGTCAATTATTAACATAAGGATAAAACTTAAAGGTGATGCTCTCTTGCTAATTGAAATAATTGTGAAGTTTCTTGAACATAGGTGGCAAAGGTTCAATAGAAAATTCTCCCACTGTGTGATGGATATAGATAACTAATTTTTCCTTCTTTATGCAAGTATTTCCCTCACAAAGCAATAGAATTCAGTAGGTAAATGCACCTTTAAGGAAAGAGGAATTTTCAGCTGTAGCTTTGACATATTACAGGAGCACAGACATCCTTTGAGCACTTGGTTTCTTCAAAAGCTGATGATTCCTAATTTAAGTGCTTTTGTATGGCATTATAATAACTAACGATAAAAAGAATTTTAATTGCTTTTGCACTTATCCCAGAAGTCAATATAAACAATTCATTCTGGGTTTTCTCTGTTGACTTCAGTGGAGTCAGTGTAGTTTATGTAGTGGTGACTGAAAACAGGATTTGGCCAACTGGCTTCAGTCTTTTTACTTGTTCTACCAAATCAATGAAATTGTACACTGAAATGATTGAAGGAGGCAGGACTGGAAGGCAGGAGGCAAAGATGTTCAGCTTGATGCAACAGAAGTATTGGGAGACAATGTACTTACCCAAATGAAGACAAACTCTCTGGTCAGGCAGCCACACACATCTTCCCAGCAATGAAGGCCGAGCCCTGGCACTGCACAGGCTCCACGGGAAAGGGATTGAGCTGCTGGTGGCTGGACAAGAGGAGCAGTGACGGGCTGGCATCATCACTCACTGCATGGTGACCGTGCTGTAATGGATGCAATTGGAGATGAGATGAGTAAAGGATGAGGTGGGCTGAGAAACAGGTCCTGATGAGGCCTGAGCTGAGCACTAAGCTGAAAGGCAGCTGGTTCCTCAAAGCAGCTGAGAGCCAAAGTCATACAAATGACTCACACCTGCTTAAAGCCATTGCAACAGAGCCATGAGGGGCAACCCTGTAATGGAAAGCAGTCAGGATCCCTCCTTTGAGTGACAGATCTTTAATAGCCTTTTTAATACAGGCTGAGCCTGACTGAGCAAACCTAGCAGCAATGTCAAACTTAGCAGTCTTCAAAATTTGGATGGAAAACACTATCAAATTCTGTTGGGCAGAAAACGTGCTTTTCGTGAAGAAAACCTCTTTGTCAACAATTAACCTGCTGCAACTGTTTAAAAGTCTAGCTCATTCTGAACACCTTAAAACAGAAGTTACTACAACATTCCAGAAATGGGTCTCCATCGAGTCAGGAGTTCAACAGTTAAATACTTTAAAGGTCCAAAGTTTAATGATGTGGACTCTAGAATGATTCTTTTAAACTGCCTAATTCCTCTAAAGCATGTAATTTTTTATGGCAAATGGACTGTTCTGAAATGAAGCTGCAGATTTCCTTTCTCCTGTTATGATTTCCTGAGCTGCTCAGAGGAAGCAGCTCAGTGCACCTTCCCGTTCTGTGCCTGGGCACAGGCACGGGGCTGAGGAGCTCAGTTTCCCACCCCCTGTGCCCAGGGCTCAGCTGGGCAGCACAGCCCAGCCCAGTGAGGTACTCCAGCGCACACTTCACGCTCTAAGATTCAAACTGTGCCAACAAAGCCAAAGAGACTCTTTGGATGCTTAAAAATACCCACGGCCACAAGCATGTCAATGGAAGAGCCTGAAGTACTCACTGGTTTCCTGGTGTAAGGACAAAGACATGGAATTACAGAATTATGCCAAAGGCAACACTGAAGGCAGTCAGTGAACTTCCCAGTTCATTCTAGAGATATTCCACATAAAACACTAAAAATTTCAATGCTTTTTACAAACTCTACTATCAAAAAGGCAAATGGTCTGAAACAATTTGAAAAATATCTTTCTATTTTTGAACAAGTTTAAAGAGTGCAAAACTGAGATTTTTCAAAGTGCTGTTTCATTTTCTGTTCAATTCTGGGAACTGTCAATAAACTATTGTCCTTCTCCTTTTCTCAGGCTGTATCTTTCTCTGAACAGCTGCACATATATAATTCGATGTAGAGGGAATTTTATCGCTGAGATTTGAAACAATTGAGATATTCTGGAATACAAATACTCTAGAAGTGTCCTTAACAATCTGCAAATACTTATACATAGCAGAGAAGTGCATTTAACACTGACAATCAGTGCACAGCTAAAGGCAAGCACCAGAAATTCTGAGACATGGGCACTTCTGGTTTTTACTCTTACATCATCAGGTTCTCTTTTGAGCAGTATAATATACAGCTCCAGAAATAATCTGACACTGTTGTTCCCTTGTGGCCTGTATATAAGAAGCTGCTGTCCTTCTCTTGTCCTTCCCTTGCCTATTGTCTTATTTCATGGAGGGTCTTCTGGGCTCTTGTTCCCTTTAGGAAAATGCTGTGGAATGCTGGACATCCCTGACTGTCATTCAGGCACATTTAAAACCTAAGGGATGTCTCTCCTCTCTCTGGATCAAATAATTTCTCCTTTGTAAACATGGTTAACATTTTAATAATCCTGTTGCACAAGAAAAATCTGGCAATCTTTTTCCCAGGATTTTCTGAGGAACATGCGAATAGTCCAGTGCTGTAAAAAGGAAAATTCCTTCATCCTCTGACACTGTTCCATGGCAGTTACTGCAGAAGATAAGCTAATGACCCAAGATTTGCAAGGGGACTGCCCCACGCTGTGACTTTCAGCTTTGCAAAGGCCACACGGAAGGTTTCATTTGTCTCATTAACTTTCCCACTGTACCAATCAGAAGTTTATTATAGAGTCTTTTTCTCTTTTAACTTTTACAGTCCATATACCTCGGCAGGAGCCTGGGCACACTGACCCAGGACGCCCCTTCCAGTGCTGGCTTCCTATGAGATGCAGGAGAACAAATCACAAAGGTCCAGAGCAGTATTTTTACAAACTCTAAATGGGATGAAGCACAACAATGGAACATAAGATTGCACCAACAACCTTCAAGGTAATATGACAGACACAAACCATATTGTGCTGTATATAAACTACACAAACATTTCCACTTGATTTCCTAAGGAAATGAGGCTTATGCAGTCATGCCTTCTGTCTGTTCATGTCTGTCCCTAATAACATTCAAACCCACTGCCACATTTCGATGCAAGTTGTCAGGGGAGAAGCAAAAGATTTGGAGATAATTATGTTCCTCCAGCTCTTGTCATTGCACACAGGAAAGAGACCTAAATTAGTGCCCCAAGCTGAGGAAAATCTCCTTGAAGGGGTGGGATCAATGGCTCCTTGTTCAGTCAGTACAAACAGCTCATTTCCAGCCTTCCAATCAGCCCACGTGGGGCTCCACAGCAGATGCAGCAGGAGCTGCCTTTTTCCCTTCTGCTCGTGAGTGATCCTGGGATCTGGGGTCTCATGAAGGCCCCTGCAAGGTGCATGGGAGACCCAGGACATGGTTCCATAGAAGACTGAGTTTTGGTTGCTCCTGGAACAGCCCCTTATAATTTTCCCACAAAATGAACATTACAGTTTTGGATTTTAATTCCTTGGCTGGACAATTTCTGCTCTGTTTGTTCTTCCAGTGGCCTCAAAGGGCAGAAATCCAGCACACAGACAGTCAAGAATGCTTGGTCGTACTAGTGGCTACATTTTTCATCTGAGGTGGAGAAATGTTTTACTGGGCCCAGGATCCCCTCAGACCTTCCAGAGACTCTTCTGGAGAGGCCATGTCTCAGTGTCCTAACTTTCCAGTAATTTATTAAACCATAGGGGTACCTGCTGACATGCAAGGTTTGTTCTTTCTCACACTAAAGCTGAATCTACCTAATGTGATTCTCTGCTTGAGGGTGTCCTTTGGAACCAGTTCATCCTCCACAGTTCCCTTCCTTGCCCCCACACCCCACCACCTTTTCTTTTTATTCCCAGATCACAGACACTAATCCTGCCTGGCTCAGAGGCATCCTGAGACACCTGTTAAAGTCCTGCTAAGTGGAAAGCAGAATGAGAAGACACTCCTTGAAGCTGTGCTGCTGACATGCATCATATGGAAACGCTTTGTGAAAGCAGCTGACTTCAGCATCCTATGGAGCATTCTAAATCCTGTCACAGTACTTTGGGGAAAAAAACCAAACCCTAAATATTTTGAATTAATACATCTGGGTGCAAGAAAAATCACTCTCTGAAAAACATTTGACACGGTTTCCAAGCCACTGAGCATGTCAAGTAGAGCAGGTAATGCAGCAACCAGAGATCTGAGCAGAAGAAAAAGAAAACTTCAATCCAAATGTACCTTGAAGTACAATACTTATGGATCCAGCAAGGTCTGACCTTTTAAGTTAACAGCTATTAAGTATTTACACACAGGGAGGAAGAGGAGATCCATTGCTTGTGAGATAAACAGAATACTGATGCCAAGGCAGGGAGTCTTTTAAAAGTCAGATCAATTCAGTCAATAAACTAATGACTGAAATGCTTTACACACTTGGGATGGAAAGCTTCCTCCCCTGCCAAGTTGTCTGACACTTTTTTTGAGGAATTATTATGTACATAAAGCATTTCTAGAGACTGTGATTTTGAAAAAGATTTACACTTTTATTCTTTGCTGAAAGAGAGTTATTTCCTGGGGATGTAGTCCTATTTTTGAAGGATTCACCAGCAGACCTTATTTTTAGCAACTAGTTAACCATTCTGCCAACAGAGCATTATTCTTAAGAATTAATGAATGAATACTGTGGTTAAAATATTCTTTTTCAAGAAGGATCCAGCAAAACTGAAACTGCAGTCAGGGCAACTGAACAAACAACACAACATCCTCCAAACCCACTGTTCTAACTCAGCTGGGCGCTGCTGCTGAAGTCAGCCTGTTTATTTGCATGGCTATGAATTGTGAGAATTGAGCTTTTTTCTTTTTAATGAGTTATTGATTTTAGAAAATCACTCAAGACAGAAAATCCATACATTAACAGGCTGGCTTCACTCGCCAAGACGTGTTATTTTATAGCACTTCTGAGAAAATTCAATGCATAAAGTCCTTTCAGCCACTGCAGACAGGACAGATCGATGTGGCTCTGAGACACAGATCAACGCTTTAGGGGACTGATCCATACAGAAATACCTGGGAGACTCCTCCCTCGGAGGGATTAAGTCATTCTTCAAGACGACAAAGGCCTGAGATCCAGAACTTGAGGTTGAAGAAGGTCTCTTGTTTATTGTACACAGGGTTTTTATGGATTTCCAGCAGATTTTCTTGAATAAGGGATTCCAGGTCTCATAAACTGAGAGCTTGTGAGACTGTAAAGGAATATACTCTTAAACTCAACAGAAGTGCTTCTGAAGGGACAAAGGGAGAAAACAAACAAGATACCAGAAAAGAGATCCCTTAAAAGAACTGAAGCACACAAGCTGTACTCCCAGTTCGGGAAAGCATCCCTAAACAGAACAGGGGTTTATGCACACAATTACATGTTGTCCATAAAAAGGACAGATTTCAGTATGTGTTTAAGTGTGGTCAGAGTCTAGATGGTCAGCCTTCTACAGAATGAACGTGTCCAAGTACACTTAGAGACTATTCCTGAATTTAGGAAATCCAGTGGTAACAAAGCTCAAAATAAAGTCTTTTTGTCGGTGTTCACTTTTTTAAAATACACTCCCCACTCAAAAAAAAAAAAGAGTATTAATTAAGGATAAAATAAACTCCTACTAGTGCTAGAGGTACTCACTTCCTTGTGACTTGTTAACTGACAAATATTTCCAAGTTAAACATTGATTTTCCTTGCTTTGCTTCACTCCTGTCTTGAGCAGTCCCTCGGGCTGTGGGATTA